TCGAATTATATTACTGTGACTATTGTAATATATTGTTAATGTATTTATACAGATTATGGTCCTGGGAATGACAACGAATGAACGTGTGAATGCTGGTCGTTACAAACATTTCAAGCAAGGGAATCCGTTCCATCGAGGTGCTCTACAGAATGCCGCCGATTTTTGTAATTTTAGTTTTTGCGGGGTGAAGGCAAAACCTAGCTCGGACTGGTTGCACAGTTTTGATCTCAAACAGAGTATTGAGAAGTTACCTTTGCTCACGCAAAAAGATAATTTTCAATACGTTTAGAGTTCTGTAAGCAGCCATGAGACGCTAATTGTACACACATACATACACCATATCATTTATGCCTGACGTACTCCTTGGACTACCAAAGAGTTGCCACAAACATGTAAGTGACTTTCCAATACGGCAGTAATTATGGATATACGACGATTTCGTTCGAACACATATTCTCTAAGTAGCTCTATATAATAATCGCTAAATAACAATTTTCCGACTCGTTTGTCGTAAAAGACTGTTATATTGTGCGAATGTGCATATCCCACCTATATTCTATTTAAATATATCAATGAGTGATTAATCGATACAAATGCACAAATTTCATGATTCAAATTAACCCTCCATTGCCCAAATATAATATATGTTATACTGAATGAGTTTCTGTATTGTTTTTTAAGCTGTAAAATTTCTATTATCGATAAATGGAAAGAGATACATAAAAAAAAAATTAAGATTAGAAAAGTAATCTGTAACATAGAAATTGGGCAGCATAGGGTTACTAATTTCTTCAATCATTTTAATTATATATGATCCTATTTTTATCTTTAAAATTGAAATTTTTTTCTACCAAACTATAGAATATTCTTTACATTAAACGCGTATTGTAAATATTTATCTTAACTCATGCTCATCAATCAATGCTCATTTACTGACCACTTCACATCTGATTTTAATATTGCGATTCATAAATAGCAACTAATGATGATTCAACAGAAACTTGCACTTAGAGTTTGAAGGTATATATTATTCTTTCTCTTTCTCTCTCTATCTTAGTGATTATATATTTATAAATCTAATATTTATAATTATATAAATAATTTAAATAAATTTAATCTACAAAATCACTATGTGTGGTTACAGTAACTTTATTATCGACAGAATAATTGGAAGTCTATATATTTCTCACTAATGAAAATATTCAAAGAATATTTATATGCATTTATTCTCGATGAATTCTATAATTTGTAATTGAAAAAAATCGATAAATATATATAATGATAAAATGCATTGAGAGACAAGAAATAAATATGCAAATAATGTTTAAAATTTCATATAAAAGTGTAAAAGTAAAAAATAAATAATAAAGATGTGGGGCCTATGTGACATTGCTATAAATTATGCAAATTAGAACGCATAAGAAAATCAAATGCTGTGTGGTAGAATTATTATAGCCAAAAAGAACTATAGCTATTTATACTGTTTAGTCTATATTGTTCGTATTTGTAAGAGACTCTACCTGAATTAAGTGCCATGTTATGCTTCTTGAAATGCATTTATGTGTACACAACATCGCAAATTTTTGTTGAGATCATACTACTATTTGTATTGGTGACTAAACATCACTGTTGTGACTAAAATGTAATATTTATAATAATGCGATATTTGCGATTACAAATCAATATTATCAAATTATTTGTAATATTTATTTAAGAACTGTGTTATAACATATATGAAGCATATCTTGTCAAAAACATTTAGATCATAAAATCGCTTTTCATATGTTAAACAAAGAGTAAGTCTAGAGCATCGTTATGCATCAAAGAAATGATTTAAATCGACTAAATATAACAGAGAATGCTCTCTGTCTATTGTAATTTACTATTTAACTGATAATTCTTCCAAATTATATGTACAAATTATATTGCAGAGAAAAAAATGAGAATTATTGCTTGTAAACATTCCAATTAACGGTAGCATTTTATAAGGATGAGGATGTAGGAAATGTCAATTTATAGAATATCTCGTCAAATATTTCGATTCCCATAAGTTGATTGATGAAAAAAAATATATTGTATTATTTTTAGATGCGCTCATGGAAATGAAAATTGCGTAAGTGTAGCGTAAAATAGATTATTCTAAATTTAGTTAGAAAAATACGTTTTACGTTTTTCTTAATGTAAAGTATTCTTATTTTTTAGGAAAATAATTTTAATGTGATGACTCTTGATTTCGATAAATGCATATACATATAAATAAATCGATCAAAGATTATTTGCACAGTATAGTTTTGATTTATAGTTTTGAATTAATATAGATATAAATATATATTTAGTATATACATGTATGTAATTATCCTAAATACGTAAGAATATACTAAAGGAAATATCGCACTGATGTGTTTAAATCGAAATTTTTTTTTCAATTATAAAAAAATTCAGTAATGATTTATTTGTATGTAAATGTTATCTATTTTAACGTGTCTATAAATAAGTATTTTATTTTATTTTAGTATTGATTCTAGCATAAGAACTTTATATGATTCAAGTCTTCGAGATCATTGGTATAAGTTTAACTGTCTAATCTTTCGATTTTTAACGGTTGTATTAGTTAATACTTTTCTTTGATAACTTCTTGTACAGAACAATGAGAAACATCGTGTACAAAATGTTGAAAAAACACAGATAGTTTTAATATGGATATACTTGACATAGCAATCGCACGATTACTGCAAAACGAGTACTCCATGTCAATGTGTTAGCAAAAGATACATGTATAAATATTATAAATATACATAGAAGATATAACTAATTGTACTATAATATTATTTGTCAGACAATTATGTTTGTTAAAAGGACTTCGCGTCGGACAGCTCGATTCGATTGTTACATTAATTACTTTTATTTCTCAATCTAGTCTAACTGAGATTAGTAGCAAACAATAGCATTGATATATTTTGTTAACTGCTGTGTTGTGATTACTTCCTACACGGAAGCTCTAACCGTCGAAGTAAGCTGTATTAATCTTCTAATGCTGTGTGTAATATTTGGAAATCAGGATCGAAATCGATATAATTTGGCTGAATTTCACACAAGATGAATAACATGAACGCATAACAATTTTCGCGTTTATTTACATTATAAATGAAACGCGACAACTAACATAATGTTCAGATTTTCATGTAAATTATACCGATTTCCATCCTCGCAAATCATGAGTATCAATGCGTCGTAAAGCAACCGAAATGATACGAGATACAAATAATACGTTTTTACAGCCGAAAAATACACATGCAATATCATAATGAATGTATTAACACACGCACGTTTCTTACATCGCTACATTTTCTTAAGCTCCATAAAAGTAATCTTAAGATTATATGAAATATATATCTTATAAAAAAAGGAAAGAACAGATGAATTCATAGATATAAAGTTATAATTCATGATGCGACACCTTTATCGTTACTGTGATTTGCGAGGTAATATGAAAAATATATGTAACATGCATACATTGAATGTTTGAATGTTTGCTGTTAAATTTTTGATGAATTATAACATAATATATGATAATGGTGTGTCCTGTATTATCTTTTTAAGTGATAATCGTCCTATTTTACTTCCAACTCTGTTCGATGTAAATAAAAGTTTACATGTCTAATACTTCACTCGATAAGAACTCAATTTGAAGCAAAGTTGTATACATGTGTGTTCTGCTTTTTTCTTGAAAGCAAAATTAAATCGTCGTACTTTATATATTTTCTTTTTTTTTTTCATTTTTCCCGCAACTATGACAGATAAAAAAAACTTTTTTGATTGCGAGCAGAATGTTATTCTCAGAATAACATTCTACATTCGATTTTCAATCGTGACAAAATTGTTTGCTATAATTATTTATTTCTTTGTATATATTTTTATACGAAAAAAATTACGCGTATAAACATCGTTATTTTTTTCATCGTGAATGTTTTCAATCTACAGTAGATTTTTTTTTAGAAAATTTTATTGGATTTGATTTTCTTTGTATCTTAATTTTTAATATTAATTATTATGACTCTAATACATCTGTAATATTTACGTATAAATTTCCATACCGAGAATATATAATCGAGAATAAAAATTTGAATACGAAATGTATCGTAATTCATGACATAATAAAATATGATGTTTTCTTACACCATGGTATATATGACTGCAGGTCGCTTTTGTTATCGTTTTTGTTCCAAGTTTATGTTGCAGTTTGGTTTGCGTTAATGTTATTTGACGTTAATGTTATTTTAATTTTTTATGTGTTGATCGTAAGGGAATGCGTTTAACATGGTTACCGGAGAGGACTGTTCCTGCGCTGACACGACGGAACCTTCCAATTTAACGTCCTTGCGTTCGGATGACGCTACCTCGGCCATAAATTCCGACGTAAATGCGTTCTGCACCGAAACGGTCGATAAGAGAACCGACACTGTTAAAGAACCCAAAGGCATATTGTCACATATTCTTCAAACGTATTCTAGCAAACTATATGTATTATATAAAGCGTCCCAAAATCACCAAATATTTTTTTGACAGCAGATTCTTTAGTCGAATAAATTTAGTCAATTTTTTTTTTTATCAAAATCAATGTCAATGCATAGAAGGGAATCTATTAATACCTTGGACAAGTCTAAATTAGTCTAAATTAAAACATTGTTTTAATTCATCTTGCGCTAAGTCTATTTTAATTATTTTTATTTTTGAATTATTCTATATATATATTTTGTATGCAGAAACGGATTGCAAATATTCCGATGCATCGCTAATTGCAACTTACTGCGTAGCTGCACCAGTCGACATCCCATCCACGGTTCCAGGAAGATCGGATCGACAGTCACTTCGGAAAAAATCGAGGAGCCAGCCGCCTGCAACGCAACTTCAATCGAATTTCCCATGCCTTTGTCATAGCCATAAAATGTAACATCCGCCCGTTGCACCTATGTATCTTATCTTGTTAGTCGATCTACTTCTTAAAGCAGATTTATCATTCCAGCAATGGCTACGTTCTGCCTGTGAAACTCAAGGAAGGTACATAGAGACGCCATCAAGATGCACCGAAAATAGTTGAAATGATAGTTGCATTTTTCAGATAAACCGCAATCGCGTCCGATCTGGAGCCGCTTAGGCTGGAAACGGCCGAGAAACGGCAAAAAAGACAAGATGTATGAGATAAAGCTAAAGCAAGTACAGTGTTCCCATTATGCCAAGATGCGTGCAAACGGCGCGCCAAAACAGCACATCGACGTACTGCAGCCATCTCACGAATTTCAACCTTTTATCTCTCACAAAGAACTATCGGAAGGGATACCGAGTAAGAATGCCAAGATCGACACTGTCAAATCAAAACCACCTAAATATCCAACGAAAACGAAACTCAAGAGAGAAGAAATAGCGGAAAAGATCGAAATCTATTATTTTGATCACGGAAACTCCGCGTAGGTATTAACTATTCGACGAGAATATTTCTTGAACATAAAGGATATTCTTCAATTTGCTTCAATTTGCGCTCTCTCGCAACAAATTCGTCTTAATATTTAGATTAATTTAAATTTTTGAATTTATTATAGTTAAAAGATCAAAAAAACGATATAATCACTCGGATGTAATACTTTTCGCAGATATTATCGAACAACCGATTGCCATCCTGTACTAATCACGGACAAATGTGCCGAAAAAACTGATCAGGCGGCAACTCGTTTTTGGGCGGAGATCTTTGGCACAATTCACATCGGTATCGCCTTCGTCACAGCTTTTATTCTGCAGCTTCTACGCTTCGTGCTCTACAGCGTGATCCGGCCGTTGACAGTGGGGATACTTCAATTAATAGCGGATTACTTTGTAAAACCACTGCTGTCTATTCTGTTTAACGCTCTCATACAACCGGTATTGATCCTGTTCTACAATATTGCGACGTCATTGAGGGATCTCTGCGAACCGATAGCCGAGGCGATGGGTTTATTCCTGAGGGAGATCGCAAATGTCTGCGCTGCAATCAGGATCGTGGAGGTGAAGCACGTTCACGCGCCGACCACTGCTAGCACTTGAGCTCTCACAAGCGAAAATTGGAAACTCTTAAAGATTGAGTTTTAGTAACTTAACTAAAGACTCGAAGGATTTTCGTGAATCTGAGATCACAGACTCACTTCCGAGGGAAATTTGCATTTCTATGTGATGCACTTTCAATTCATGACCAACAACATGCCTTAACACCAGGTATATATTTGGTATTATTTTAACTTTACAATATTATTGTATCATTTTTTACAGAACAAATTATCTCTTATAGCAACTAGCTTTGTCAATAATAATCAATGTTCGTTCTTTGTCACTCTTGCGCATTCTCTCGTTCGCTCTCGCTCTCTTTCATCTTCTTTCTTTCGTTCTTTCTCTCTCTTTCCCTTCCTCATGTATCTTACCATTTAATAAATTATGTACAATCTCACAAACAACAAACAGAGGAACCTAATTACATCATTTAGTTGTTCACACTTTGCTATGTACAGGTACTACTGGTATCTTTTTTCTTGTTTTTACAGAATCACTGCTTTCTCTCATTCTCTCTCGCACTCTTTCATTCTCTTTCTCTCACTCTTTCATACTTCTTTTCATTCTTACCAACCGATCATATCGCAATATACGTTATTTTTCGCATGTAATCTACAAAAAGAAAAAAAGGAGACAAAAAAGAAATCGAATGAACGAACGTATCGTCATCTATCGTCACCTAGTCTCAGGAACTGCAACCTCTGCTCGTTCGCTATAACGCATCGCAGCGATCTAGGTGGTACTGCTACTAGTGTTCGTAGTGGTCGGAGTCTCCTGGATGGCTAAGGTCTGCGAAGGCGCGGATGTCGAGTCACCTGCAAGCAAACAATCAAAGGAGGGATCAATAACAGAATCGAGCATGTATCTCTCCGGATCATATAACATAGTCGACTAAACATACACTTATATAATATAATACGCCATAATTAGGTTCGTTCCTTAATCGCGCAATTGATCCGTAATTAACAAGGGAGTCTTCTCTCTGCAAGTTTGTGTACCGTCGAACTTTATCGTTGTCGATAATGAATACCGCAGAAATATCAAAAGCACTTCCATACATAGCTTCTATTTATCCTTTTATAAATAAATACTCTCTAGCTTAATTTGAGCCTCGATTTAATTCAATCGTGCTTGTTTCGATGAAAAATTATAGCAATGAGAATAGTATCGTTCCCTGAGACTTATTGATCGTCAAGAAAAAAAAGTCTACTGTTCAAAACGCGCAATCCAGTCTCGGATCTCTTGCCGGCATTGCATAATCGGCATCGATCAATACCGCATCGGTGGTAACAACGGTCGCAACGATGGTCGCGGTGATAGCGTATAAAACTTACCCAAGAGGGCGGCTTCTAAGTCCCCCAGGATCTCCGTCTCCTTGGGGTCTATAAGGTTGAAGCGTTGATTAAGGAGCGTGAGGTGGGCGAATACACAATTGAGGTGAGCGTGCAACCCCAAAAGCGCCACCTCCCTGAAGTGGCAGTGGTAGATGTGTGCCACTACGTGGTACAGTAGCCGCAGGATCTTACGCACTATCGACTCGAACGAGCTCGGGAACTCGTTTGCTAAAAAACAGTGGAAATTAACATCGTCGCAAACATTGATTGCTCTCGGACTATGATTATGTAACGTAACTACGAATGAAATCAATAATTATTAAAATGAAGGTGTAACGTTTATTAATTAATTATATTGAAATATACTCTAGACATTAAATAAATACGAATTAAATAAACTAAATAAATATATAGCGTTAGAGAGAACAATTTACCATATTTTGTAGGGAATATAGTTTCGTCGCTAACGGTGCGTTGCGTAAATGTCATAACATAGTCTATATATTGTGGCGCCGCAACCCTCGTTTTCTTCCCCTTTTCGTCGAACCATAGATACGTTCTGGAATGATAAATCATTTGTAACAAATGTATCGATTACTATCGATCCGTGATAACTTCTATGGAGCTTGAAACGCCTCGGGCAAGGAGATACGTACCTTAAGCCGGGACCGGTCATGTCGGGACAGCCCGTCATGGTGCAAAACTCAGATATTGTGCCATAGACGAGATTAATATGGTCGAACAATGCGAGGGTGTGCGACGCCAGCCATTCGTTGTAGTCCAGGCCGGGCGGTAGGTCCACGAGCATCCTCAGGTCCAGCTCCGGTAGCTGTCTTTCCAGGGCAGCCTCCTCCAGGTACAATTTCGGATCCTCCGTGGTTCCCGCATCCTTCTCCTTTCGTCTGGCCTTTCTGCAAAACGAGAAAGCAGTCGTACGGTCAGTCGAGACAAACCTCGGAAAGTTCTTTCAGTACGCTTAAGCCAGTCAAGCAGAACCATAGGTGTCGCGTGTAAGAGGCGTATATATGTACATGTAACACAACACAGCCTGTGTGTAAATGAGATTAATGGGGACGCTGTTCGAAACCAAATTGAAGGAGATCGATTTTTATTTATAGAATTTTATTATTATAAAAATCGAAGAGTCCATAATTAATTAAATTTGATTTCGAACAGCTTATACAGTGATAATAGATATACTTGCAAAAGGGACGAGAGAGAGAATCGGTTCTTTTTATTGTAGAATTGATAATTATACAGAGAAAATGACTTAAGATTAAAATAACGAAAATGCCAATCTTAAATATAAAGAATAATGTTATAGACGATATCGAATACGTCGTGTCGTTTAAAGTAAATCTCCGGAAAAATCAACAGAACATTTTTACAACGCATCATTATTGTCGTTTTACAGACACGCTAATTTGTGGTCCCCAGATTGACCGGAACAGATTGGACAGAGCGTTTTGTCTTTAATCGACTGACGCGAATTCATTAATCAAATCGGCGAATTATCGGATTTGCACGATTACCCTCGACGCTTCCCGAGTCTATTCAATTTGTCTTCAATTTATCAGCGAAGCCGAACATTGTGTCTCTCACGTCACGCCCTCAAGAACGAATCGAACTCATTTGTATAAATAAGATGATAGAGAACGTTTTTAACATTCGCTTCATTAGAAATCTTTTAATAGAAAATTACAAAATAATGTGGCTCAGTTGAAAAATCGGAAATAATTATAAAAGTCGATTGTTGCAATGCGCTATTATCGTATGCAAAATAGAAATTTCACCTCACTTTTGCCAGTAAATAAATAACGATAATATTATAATATAAAGCGCTATATTTTACATATTAATAAATATATAGAATGTTCCACATATAAAAAATTTAATCAAATCTTTTTACAAAATTTTTTTTTTTTCCTTTAAAAGAGCAAGAATTTTCAGATAAAGTTAATTAAAATTAAGTATACTGTTATTGAATCTTCTGAATATCACGTACATTTTTAATAATGAAGTTAGAAGATTAAAAAGTTAAGACATTGATTAATTGAACTTTCGCAAAACGAAAGATTATTTCAAATAATTTATTATCTGAACTATTCTGTGTAAGAGACATCCTGTATATTTAATACAAAAAAATCTATACTCAATAAATTTTTTAAAAAATAATTATTAATATATATACATATACATATTACGAGATAATAAATATATATAAAATCTTATTATTACGTTGGTGCAAAAGATTTTGATGTATTTGTCAAAAAGTTAAAAACAAAATTATATAATTTCGTAGCATTTTTATTAACTAAATAGTCATCATTGCTTCTTCTAGAAAATAAATTTTCAACTGCTTTTTCGAAAAACTCAGATAATCAGATAATGTCATTTTACTTAAAAAATAAAAGGACGGCAAATGTTTTGCACCAATGTAATAATAAATATGAAGAAAGTAAACGTTCTAATTAACGTGTATCGCACGCAACTAACACAGAGTGTCCTTGTTTGCACGTGAGGACTAAACATCACAACTGATTTTCGAGCTTGTTCAGCCGCGAGACGCAGCAGCCACGTCGCACATTCAGCTTCCTGCCAGTGAAAAATGCAATTACATGCAATAACGATAGCAGCGATGTTCAGCCACGTCTACACGATTCAAAGCGCGCACAAATCTCTCTCTAGAAAGCACACATGCTCCTGGAAAGAAGCTGCATCTCCGCATAGAAAGAAAAACGCTGACGTAAGTCAGCCTAGGTATACAAATTCATCATCGTCCATGACGTATGTCTCTAATCGCGTACAACACAGTCATTTCAGTACAATAATACTCGTCTATGACGCTATCGATGCCTTATCAGGCACAGTACAGACAATTTATTACGGACACTCGATTCTTCCCAATATATATCCCGTATATCTCGCATAGAGAAGATGCGCTTTAATTACACCGGGCTAATTTCACGTTTACGGCACGCACATATGCACATATCTATACGATATCGATATATCGTTTGCGGGTTGCGGGAGGAAAAAAGGGAACGGCGGAGTCTAGGGCGGAAGAGGGATAGGAAACTCACGCAACTAGCTCGCCGAAGAGCCTGATCTTCCTGTGGCAGGTGTCGAGCAAGGAGAGACGCGAGGAGGAGGCGCTGCTCGAGCTACCGGCGCCGGTACCGGCGCCGCCGTGGTGCACCCAGAAGCGGAAGGCTCCCGTAGGACGGTGATGGCGCCGCGCGCCGGCGAGCGTAGCATCGATGCTGTCGTCTTTGTCGTCTTTGTCGTCTTTGTCGTCGCGATCGTCGTCGTCGAGGACGATCTCCTCGGCGCACCGCCCTCGTGCCCGAGGATCCGCTCACGCACGCTGGGTAGGCACCAAATCTTGTTCGTTTCTCATCGAACGATTAACAGCACCCGCCAGAACGGCTTCCTCCGAGATTCTCTCTTGAGATTCGATCGAAGGCGATCTCTACGCGGTCGACAAAGACCGCGAAAACGAATGGGAGAATCTCCGAGCGCGTTAAATAATTTCTTTCAAGTATCAAGGACGGAATGTGTTCGGGTCGAGGAATACTCCGGAGAAATCTCCTTATTCTGGCCTTCGGTGGACACTTGCTCCGTTAACGTCAGTGCTCGAGAATTGGTCGGATCTGTCACGTCTGATAAACTAATAATTTCTTCTAATCAATTTTTTTCTAATAAAGTTTCTTCTGCGTGTTTTTCTTCTTTTTTTCTTCTTCTTCTTCTCTAACCGTTCTTAATACTTATGTAACGTGTTATTCAGCTCTTGTAAATCCTGATAATTTTCCTAGTAATATTTTTTCACATTCCGTGCTGAAAAAACGATCAACAGTCAGCAATCACTTAACATTCGTCGCAGATCTTGATTTGTAATGATTTTCCTACAGTTGATAGTGATATTT